ATTATTATTATTATTATTATTATTATTATTATTATTATTATTATTATGCTACACAAAAATGACAGTATACACAGCAAACGAGATAACCATACTGGATTTCATATCACAAATCACTAGTTGAACATTTCCCAAGTGTTTAGGACTGCGTGATATATCGGCGGATTATGCGAGCTGCAGCTGACCAATGGTGATCTTGTCAGTGCCAGTTCTTTTTAAGTGCTTGCCTAGGTCTTTAGGCACATTAATTATTATTATTATTGTTATTGTTGTTATTATTATTGTTGTTATTATTATTGTTATTATTATTATTATTGTTGTTGTTGTTATTATTATTATTATTATTATTATTATTATTATTATTATTAATCACAGTCTGGGATTGGAAAAAAGCTTAACAGTTCAAGTCCTAATTGAGAACCTAAGAACTGTTAGGGTAACATTTGAGTATATAGGCAGTTCTGAGTAAGGTGGTTGTTGTTATTATTATTATTACCTATTCACAACCATGTTTTTTCCTTTTCAGAATGTTCACCCAATAAGACATATTTTGATTGCAACAAATTCGACTCTTGGTCTTCCCAAACGCCAGTACAAGTTAGCTGTCAAACGCTGGGTACTGATCACGTATGTCTTTCTTCCATTCTGGCTTTTTTTTTACACCCGTATGCCAAAAGTGATGTAATTTTGATAGTGATTTCTGCTGCGAAGCTATTATCTTTAGTGAATTCCACTAAGACAATGGTCTTCAAACTTGGTAAGTTTAAGACTTGTGGACTTCAACTCCCAGAATTCCTGAGCTAACATGACTGGAGGTCATAATTGAAGTCCACAAGTCTTAAAGCTGTCAGGTTAGAAGATCCCTGCACTAAAAGAATATGGAGATGAACCAAGCCACTGCTTAAAGTGCCAACGTAAAATCACTGGCCATTTCATATTTAAAAGCAAGAGGCCTACCAACATATATAGAATTCTTCCATTTTTTTAGAGGGGATAAATATGCCCCAGTAGAAATGAGAAAGCAATTTCTTCCCAAGCATATTTCAAGTAGTTGAAAGATTCTGAGACACAACTCCATATCTAATTTTAGCCCATACTGATTCCAAGTTGGCGATGCACTTTAAATAGTGCACTTGGGTGTGATTTGTCTTTCCAATATATATATATGAACAAAAATGAAAATTTTGATTGGCTAGATCATATTAAGGTTGCTATGAAATAATCATGTGGGTATTATCCTTGTTTCCCATAGTTCCAGACTGAGTGTATCTCAGGATGCATTTGCCCTGAGGGCTTGATTGATGATGGCCGAGGGGGATGTGTAGCAGAAGATGACTGCCCTTGTATTCATAACCAGGTGTTTTATTCCAATGGAGAAAAAATAAAAGTTGGCTGCAACACATGGTAGGATATGCTATGTACAAAATAGAAATAGAAGATGAGAGTCGTTTCTTATTTCACATCATTAATAGTTTGATCTGTACCTTTAAAGCATTACATTGAGAGATATAGCTGGTCTTACTCCTTCCCTCCCTCCCCGCACCTCTCTCTCTTTGATATTCTCTAGTACCTGCCAAAAAGGAAGCTGGAAATGCACCAACATAGTGTGTTATGGGACATGTACCATTTATGGCAGTGGCCATTTCATCACCTTTGATGGAAAATTCTATGACTTTGATGGTCACTGTGAGTACGTGGCTTCTCAGGTAATATTCGGTTACTGGTACCAAGTTTTGTAGTAACCCAAATTATACATTTGAAATGACTGTCAATTTCATTTCATGGAATCTTCTTACCCAGCAATAATTGCATTAAGATTTTTTTTGCACATAATTATTTTACCAAACTTCAAAAAGTCTGACTTGTATTGAATTCCATGATACTGAATTAAAACATTAACAACGTAACAACTCTTTGGATGGTTTTTGAAATTTATTTCATTCAATGTTGATAATATCTTTACTGGTAATAGGTATTCTTGCTCAAGGCACTTTCAAACAAAAAAAGACTTCTCACCTTTTAAAACAGGAATTCCTGATGGGTAAGATATGCTGGCCTAGTTTATCTATGTCCTGCCAAATCTTGATCCTAACAGGGTACCTTCTTTAAGTTAGTATCTGTTTGACTTCCCATATGGATGCCATTACATTTAAGTGAAACTAAATTGCAACTAAAACAAGTCTTACCATAATCTATTCTGTTGTTTCAACTGACTCACAAAATATTTTGGACATCTGGAACTGTAGTGTTGGTGTTTTAAAAGCTGGAAGAGTTCCTTTGCAATGACTCTTTGGGGTTTGTATTTTACAAGCTCCATGTTTGTTGATTTTATCTCCTGACCATTTCAAATATTGTACCAATAATAAAGTGTTTCCTGGGTTACAATTCTTCGAATGAACCTTATCTGAATGGTTTATCAATTACTTTGCCTCATTGTGCCTGTGACTATAACCACATTATGACATTAAATGACCAAATAATTTTCAGCCAAATAAAACATGCTATTTTTAAAGACTAGCTTGTTAAATGCTTTTTTTGGGTGGGTAGGGGAAGTTGGTTAGTAAATGGTTTGAGACATGAATGTTCTCATAAACAAAAAGGAATGATTAACTGCACATTGTCCAGAATCGGTCTGTGAGTAAAATGTGAAACCTTATTTTATTTGATTTTGCTTAATCTTAACCCTCTTTTGTGTTTGTCCCACTATGCCCACTAGGATTACTGTGGTAACCAGCAAGGAACATTTAGTGTGATCACAGAGAACGTCCCCTGTGGAACAACAGGAGTTACCTGCTCCAAGGCCATTAAATTGTTTCTGGGGGTATGTATCGAGGACAGAAACGAATATGCCTGAGAAAGGTTGTTTGAAAGCAACCTTTCCTACCCAAAGAAACCAAAAAACGCTTTGAAGTCTTGAACAAATTGGACTCCACTCTACTTTTTCAAGACTGACATTAAGTAACATGGCATACGCAATTTAAATTTGCTAGACTGACAACTCAGTTGAAAGTTGAGGATTGGTCGTGTTATGCTATTAACAACAAAGCGTTAACAACAAATTTAAATTTATTTATTTTATTCTGCCTTTATTATTATTTTTTATAATCAATAAGCTTTTGCCTTCCTATACAGGAAGGGTTATTCTGATGACTGCTTTATAGAGAATGGACTTCTCTTTTTGATTCTACCTCACCCATGGGCTGAAACGGGTTGCATTCCAAAAAGTGTAAACCTAAACAAAAAACATAATAAATGTGTTAATCCACTCTTCTTTGAGTGGACTGAGTAGGAGGGGCTATTTAAAATTCCATCTTCTGTTTTCATCACATAGTCTCCATGGTATTTCTTCCTTTTAGACCACAGAGCTGAAGCTGCAAGAAAAGCACATCGAAAAAATTGAGTGGAGTAAAAACAGCTCTATAACATATTGGATTCGTGGAACAGTTGGGTTGTACACAGTAATTGAAGCCAGCAATGGAGTGATGCTCATCTGGGATAAGAAGACAACTATTTTCATCAAACTCATGCCCTACCATAAAGTCAGTGCTTCTAGAACGCTTTCCACATAACATTTTTATGTTACTAATGTGGATGAGTATATTAAAAATATTTTGTTACAGTATTTATGTCTTAATACATGCTATATATCTCTATGTATATTATGAATTTGCACTATTATTTCTTGATAAATGTAGATTAATGCAATATGCACAACAAGTTATTGAACCCATCGGGGAGGAGTCACTGAATAATGTTTAAATAGGATTTAAATATATAGAATAAATGGGAGGAAGAGACAAATATTTTCCTCTCCAGTTTAGCTAAGCCTTGGGAAAATAGTGCAAACCTTTTACTGGATCCAGCCCAGGGCAAACATGTAAAATGCTTAATGCAGATTTACTTAAAGCTTTTCATTTATTTATTTACAGTAAACTTCTTTTTCCATGCTGGTGATACATACCCGTTTGTAGTTATTTTAGTGTGTGTGGTATGAAGATATTGCTGTTTACTTGGTAATGATTATTTTAAATAACTAAAATGACAGTGGAATACAGTGAATTTTTGAAATTGAATCTGGTTTAATTTCAAAAGTAAACAGACCAATTCTTTTCCTCTTCACACACTTATGTTTGCTTTCTTCTTCTTATATATGGAAAGTTCTGTACACAAAACTGTCATTTGGAATAGTGCATGCAAAGGAAGGAGCAGACTATCCCAGTTTTCTTACATACTAACTTTTTTCCCATCCTCTGGAACCCTAGACGCAATACAGGTAATTCTTAACTTAGGGCCACAATTGAACTCAAAATTTCCATTGCTATACAAGACAGTTGTTAAATGTTTTGCTTCATTTTACAACCTTTCTTGCCACAGTTGTTAAGTGAATGACTGGAATTCACTTAACTAAATTAAATTAGTAACATGGTCTCAAAGTGAATCTGGCTTCCCCATTGACTTTGCTTGTCAGCAGGTTACAAAAGGCGATCATCCCATAACCCTGAAACACTGCAACCATCATAAATACATATCAGTTGCCAAGCATCCAAATTTTGATCCCATGATCTTGGGGATGCTGCCATCGTTGTAAATGTGTAAACCGTTGTAAATGTGAAAAACAATCACAAGTCACTTTTTTCCCATGCTGTTGTAATTTCAAATGGTCACTAAACAAATAGTTGTAAGTTGAGGACTACCCACAACGGATCATGGTAGAAATATGAACCACATCAGTAAAATTATTCAAATTTATTTTAGCTTTGACGACGTGCTTTTCTTACTTGCAGGGGAAAGTCTGTGGCTTGTGTGGTAACTTTGATAACAAAGCCAGCAATGACTTCACAACAAGGAGTATGGCTCAAGACACAGTCAGTGCCTTGACATTTGGAAATTCATGGAAAAAGGATCCCGCTTGCCCTGATGTAGAGGGAGTCATTGAGCCCTGTGAGCTGAAGCCACATCGGAAAGCGTGGGCAGAGAAAGAGTGCAGCCTTATCAAAAGTGAAGTTTTTAAAATATGTCATCACAAGGTTAGTAGTTTTGGTTTGGTTTGATTTGGTTTTGAGTTACATGGTGTTGGCAACTTTAAGATGTGTGGACTTCATCTCCCAGAATCCCTAAAGTGCTGGTCAAGGAATCCTGGGTGTTGAAGTCCATACATTGTAAAATTGCCAAAATTGAAAAACACCATATTAGGGAATGCTTTGACACAGTGTTCTTTAAAATAAAATAAACCACTGTCATAGGGGAGCCTTGGACTGTGTCTATTGGTGTTGCTGTACATCTGAACAATAGCTGCCCTGTATCAACTTTGGAAACATTAATTTATGAATCTTTTCCTTCCTGCTTCCACACTAATTTAACTATTTTTTTTAAAAAAAAGTCATTTAAATGCATATTTAAATATGTATTCTGAACATTTTCACAAGATACAAATTTAGAGATGCAACAACACTCCAGATATATATTTTCTAATGTATTGTCATTTTAAATATAGTTTTGTAATTACATTATGGTAATCATTTTTGAACGATGATATTCAGGGAAGGGAAAATTATGGTGCTTAGTTTTATTCCAATACATTAGAACAGGAATTATGGTAAAATAATTCCATCTTAGGTTCCACATAGACTGCTTTGCTTAAATACATCTGATCCAGAATGCAATGTTCAGCTATGTGAAGAAAGTGAACTTTAAGTAAAAATACAATTTCCTTTCCCTAAGAATTGAGAGAAATTAAACTTTTAAGGGCCTGAAGCACCTTGGTGTTTCCAATGTGAATGGGACGGAACCTCATTCATCCACTGCATGTAGACTTTTTTTATTTTTTTATTTTGATTTGTCAATCGCTTACAAGATAATAGGTATAAGTATATACATAGTTATGAATACATGAAATGGGTACATATAAGAAAAATAAAATAAACAATAGGACAGGGACGGTAGGCACATTGGGGTGCTTATGCACGCCCCCTACAGACCTCTTAGGAAAGGGGTGAGGTCAATAGCAGACAGTCTAAGGTTAAAGTTTTGGGGGTTTGGGGAAAAAACCACAGAGTCAGTCAAAGTATTCCAGACATTGACCACTCTGTTGCTGAAGTCGTATTTCCTGCAATCAAGTTTGGTGCTGTTAACCTTGAGTTTGTATCTATTGTGTGCTCTTGTGCTGTTATGGTTGAAGCTGAAGTATTCATTGACAGGTAAGTCATTGCAATGTATGATTTTATATACCATACTTAGATCAGACTGAAGATGGTGTAATTCAAGGTTTTCTAGGTCCAGAATTTCAAGTCTGGTGTAGGTATTCTACAACGAGTAGAGGAGTGGAGAACTCTTCTTGTGAAATATTTCTGGACTTTCTCAACTGTGCTAATATCAGATACGTAATGTGGATTTCATACTGATGACCTGTATTTGTGTATTGGTCTAGCAAATTGGTATGCTCTAATTAGTAGTGTGATATTACCAGAGAAAAAGCTATGTAGGATTAGGTTAACAACTCTTAATGCCTTTTTGGCTATTTAGTTACAGTGGGCTCTAGCACTTAGATCATTAGAGATGAGTACTCCAAGATCCTTTACAGAGCTTGGATCATCAACAAGGTCTTGATTATTCAGCCTATATTTTATTTTCTGATTTTTTTTGCCAATATGTAAGACAGAGCATTTATTTGTTGAGATTTGAAGTTGCCATTTGTTTGACCATTCTGATACATAGTCAAGATCTTTTTGAAGGGTAGCAGTATTGTCTGTGGTATTGAACAGCTTTACGTCATCAGCGAAGAGAACGCAGTTGCTCTTAATATGATCACAGAGGTCATTTATGTGAAGTATGAAGAGAGTTGGTCCTAGAACACTGCCTTGGGGGACACCACTATTGACACGTACAGAATTTGATGGGACACTCCCAATTTTGACCATTTGTTGTCTGTTTGACAGGAATGCTTCTATCCACTTATGTAGTTGTCCAGAGATACCATAAGATTTTAGTTTTAGGAGTAGTTTGTTGTGTACCACTGAATCAAAGGCTTTTCAGAAGTCTATGTAGATTGCCTCTATTGCTTTGCCCTTATCGAGTTGTGTAGTCCATATGTTTTTGCAGTGTAAGAGTTGCAGATTACAAGATAGTTTTTTTCTGACACCAAGTTGTTTATTGGAGAGTAGGTTGTTTGTCTCTAAGTGGAGGATAATGGATTGGTTAATAACTGATTCCATGACTTTACAGGTGACGCAGCATAAGGAGATAACTGGAAGATCAACTTGCTCAATCCATTTGCTGAGCTCTTCTATGTTCAGAGGAAAATGCAGTCATGCAAATATCCAAATGCTGTGATTCTGTAATTTTTCAATAGGTGAATCCACAGCCATACTACGAAGCCTGTGTACATGATGCCTGTGCCTGTGATACTGGGGGAGACTGTGAATGCTTCTGTACTGCAGTTGCTGCCTATGCACATGAATGCATCAAGGCTGATGCATGCGTCCACTGGAGAACTCCAGATATATGCCGTAAGCATTCTAGAAAAACTACTGAAGTTCCAGGATAAGCATACAATATCCAGTTATCCCAAAGGATGATGATCTAGAAAACTCTAGACTATAATCTTTCACAAGTCTAGATGTGCTTATTTAATTTAGCTAAACCTAATCTTGGTAAGGTTTATTCTCTGAATAAACCTTAGACATTTTTTGCTAAAACCCTTCAGCTTTGTGATAAGGAATCCCTGAGGCCAGATACCACCAGATGATGATCACAATAACAATAAACATTATTATCAAGTTCTCAAAATCATACATTGGAAGTTTTGCCAGAATTTGTTTTCAATGCAGCAAAAATTACCGGGAACACAAAATTGAAAATAAGCAAGTCAAGAACCTGCGGGACTTTTGGATGGCCCACAACACACTTTGTGGAAAAGAAAAAAGTCTGGTTCATTGATATTGCAATACCACGAGATGCACAAATTGAAGAGAAACAGCTAGAAAAAATAACAAAATATTGTGTTCACATTAAAGTTGAGCCACTATGAGGAAGAAATAGGAGCCCTTGGAGCAATACCCTGCCTTGATACGTGGACATTTTGAACTTTTTAGACCTGAATATATCAGAATTGCCTATATACACAGACGTTACCCTAACAGCTCTCAGGTCTTTGGTTAGGACTTGAACTGTTAAATTTTTACCACTCCCAGGCTGTGAATCGAATTGAAGTTAATAATAATATAACAACAAAAGCAAGAAAGCAAACAAGCAAACAAACAAACAAAAACCTCAAAAGGCAACATTTGATAGACCACCAGGTCATTTTCTGCTGTTAGCTTTCTATGTTTCCATGTTACTGACAAGTCAATTTATATTTAAAAAATTACATGGAACAGTCTTTGCATCATTGCCTTTAAAGCCATCATTCTGCTTCCAGTATGTATCCATGCACCTTTTATTAAAGATTCTTCCAAAAACATAGATAATGTTAGCATTAAAGACAGGCAGCGTAGGATACCTCTATATGATACCTCAGCTATATATCTATACGATATCTATCTGTAGTGTTATTCATTAGGTTCTGCGATGTCACACAGAGATACCTTACATAGGAATTGAGGGCAAAAATTTATCTCCTTCTTTTCTAATGAGCAACTTTCTTTTTAAAGCAATCTTTTGTGAATACTACAATCCTAATAAAGATATATGTGAGTGGCACTATGAGCCCTGTGGACGTGATATTTTAACTTGCAAGATCCTCAATCAAGGCAGCACCAACTTTTCAGTGTCATTCTTAGAAGGTAAAAGACCTATTAATTTTTGGTGGATTTGTTCTTCTAGGACTGTTTGTTAGTCCAATATGGAGTTGCGGGGATGCGGTTGGGTCATTCAGCTGGGTGGTCAATAAACAAACATAAAATAAAAGTCATTCAGTGAGCTGATCCACTTTGGTAGGAAAGCTATACTGCTTATTTATTTTTGGGCCAAAAATGGGTTGGTGCCACTGAGGTCCTTCCTGGTATTTGGTTTGGAGTTTAGGAAACATCCTTGTCTCTGATTAATGATTTTTAGCTTTTGCTTCATCAGAATGAAGACTGTTAAATGCCCAGGGACAAGATGTTTCTTTCTAATTGGCCTTTTTATTTCTGTGCTTAGTTTACTAGACTGCTTTTTTGAAAAAAAAAAACTGTTCCAAAGATTTAGATCTAAATTTTATCTAAAACACGACATGAGTGTTTCTTTAGCTACCAAAGTCTTGACTCTCAGTCTTTAATGAAAAGGGGATTCTCTTTTTTTTGCCCCCTTTCTAGTATATTCTTAGTGTTATTATTCCAGGGGAAATATCAGGATAAACATACATAGAAGAAGTGCAGAATTGTGTCTGTCCCTTAGAAATGACATCCAGTCACCTGGCTCTCTAGACTGAATAATTTCCATTTCCTTCTGATATATAAATCAAAGGGTTGTTTTTTTAAAAAAATCAAGTCTTTGGAGCATGTCTCTTTCATGCAGTGCTTCTATGACACGGACAGATAATAGCTGCCATTTTACAAAATGCATCTTTTTGGACACTAGGATGCTACCCACGATGTCCTCCAGAATATCCAATCTACAATGAGGAGACCGAATCATGTGGAACAAAGGAAACATGTGGTTGCTACCATAATGATATTTACATTCCAGAGGGACAACTCATCCCCAACTATGAATACCGAGAACTCTGCCACTCTTGGTATGTGAAAATATAAAGTGAATGGAGGAAGAACAGAAAAAAAGCATTTAAACAAATGTCGTTATTGAAACTATTCAGTTTCAAACTGTTGGATTTATCTGTGAGTGTGTGACGAGAACAGCATTCTAAATTAGGAAGCACTTTAGGATAGAATACATTGAAAAGGTTAGAAGAGATGGGAATGCAAAATTGTGTACTCTCTCTTCCAGCTGCTACTTCCTCCAGAAGTCAGTAAACTCATTTGATAGAAGAAAATGAGCTTGTCAGATAATCACCACCTTGTGTGTTTTTATAAGCTCCATAATGCTTCATATGCACTATTTATTTCTTATGATGACTTAAGAATACCATACTATGGATAAAGCAATAGTGGGAAAAGGTCTTTTGGCTAGCAAAGTGAACTGGTGTCCAGTGAGTTGGAACCCAGCTGCATGGAGAAGAACAAGAATTGTGGCAAGTCATGCCCATGCTTCCTTACCCACCCCTCCCCCCTCAACTGGCAAAACCACTGTGTATGCTGTTCTGAATGGTCCTTATCTTTCGGAAGAGATTATTAGGTACTTTGAGAGTAGCAGCAAGAAGGGACAATGATAGACCAGAGGTTTCCCCTATTGGGGTCATTCAATTCATGAAGCTGTCTTCCACAAAACCTCTATATCTGGAGAGATGTTCATCTGAGGAATCCAAGGAGATGGAGATGTCCTAGTTGAGAGTTTGGGTTTTGACTAATCTCCAGAAGTCATTCAGCTTGCTTTTTATGTATAAAAAGTTAAAGAATAGTTTCGTGCAATTTCTTCCTCTCTTTATGGGAGTTCAACGTTATAGTCCCCATTAAAATCCTCACTCAATGTCATATTGTGATAAAAATGCTATATAAAGCAATGTACATGCAAGGCTATCTTTTCTACAAAAAGAAAATGTCAGGAAGCAGTCTCTCTCCTTCTTCCTTCCTTTTAAAGAGAAAATACTGGCAAAACGAAGGAGCTTAGTTATAAAAAAAAAAAAACCAGTTTTTGCCAAAGTTTTTTGCCACATGGTAAAAAAATTAGGTGGTGGTAACAAAAAGCAGGCCCGAAGGGGCAGTGTTTCCCAATTTTGACTTTGACTACCATAATTGACTTTGACTAGCCAGCATAGCCATTACTGAGATTGCTTGGGAGTTGAATTTCACACACCTAAAATTAGCCAAGGTTGAGAAATGCTGGTCTGAAAAGGAAGGATCACAAATGACCAAAGTTGGCATTAATTTGGCATTAATTTCTGATTAAGCTAGGTCTGGTATTTCCATTTGCGGATGGATTCCCAGAGTATTGGCCTCATAGAAGCTATAGATATGTGTAGCTCACCTACCGAAGATCTGACTCTATTCTAATATCTATTCCTGCCAGCGTTAACTTCCTGTCCTGTGAAATTATGTGAACGAATTACATTTATTATTAGAATTTCATCATGAATCCAAGGTACCACAAGAGCAATTGCAGAGTGAATATAGTCAGGCTACAAAAGCTTAACAAAACTTCAATATTAAAGTTTAATATTGCTAAATAAATAAACATTAAAATATTTTGTTTCTGTTTTTTTTTTTCAAAACTTTCAGTTACTGCAACTCATCAGGAATTGTGATCTGTAAACATGACAAAGGTATGTTTCTCCTGTACAAAACCCAAGCAGCTTCCATATGTCACTCTTGAAAGAGCAAGCCATGATTTGAGGTGTTTGTTTTAAAAATTTTAAAATTTCAAATATTAAGAATATCAGCTTTATTTTGAAACTTTTTTCTATACATGGTATATTTAAGGAAAGACAAATTAAGTCCCAGTAAATATACATTTATGCGCAAATATTTATTTACTTATTTATTTATTTATAATTACCAGCCATCCTACAGTTCTAATACTTCATAGTACAATGTTTAGTATAGTTCTCTAACAATGTACACAGCCATAATGGTTCTTGAGTTAGAGGGAAACTTTTAATATAGATCTGAGATGGTTGAAAGTTGGATATACAAACTGAATCCAATAAGACACATAATATAGTTTATTGCAAAATCCACTATGGAATAACGCTGGCAGCTATAAATTATATTTTTCAACCTGTAAATTGATTGTTTAGAATCTTGTGAAGAGGTATACAACTTCTTAAGGCTTGTTTAGCAAAGGGAAGAGCAGATTTGGGAGTATTTTGCCAAGGTTTTCCAGATAATGTCTCTCATGTTTTTTGTCATATGGATTCTACCTTTCCAGTTTCAAAAGAGATGATAATAGTCATCTCTCATCCATTATTATGAGATCCTGTTTAGTTTGTTATACCAGATAACAAGGATGGAACTTTTGAAAGAGCAAAGCCAACTATCGGTGTGTTGGAATCTTACCAAACTATTTTAGCCAAAAGAGTGTAACAACAGCCAGAGGATATTTTAACTTCCTGAAGCAAGCAGTAGTTCATCCATTGATGAAAAGGCTTTTCAAAATGTGACAGATTGAAAATACTTACAACAATACACCAGTACACCAGTCGCTCAAGGAGAGGGATGGCTCGTGTTTACTTGATAGTTGAATAGAGCCTTGGGAAAGCTTTGAAATTAAATTCCTGAATCGAGCATTGTGGATGTTAGACTCTATGACAGAGGTCTCCAAACTTGACAACTTTAAGACTTGTGAAGTTCAACTCCCAGAATTCCTCAACCAGCCATGCTGGCTGAGGAATTCTGGGAGTTGAAGTCCATAAGTCTCAAAGTTGCCAAGTTTGGAGGTCCCTGCTCTATGACCTCTTTCAACTTTAGGATTCTGAATTCTATGAATGACCATCAAGCTGTCTCAAATTCCCACTTTGGGCAAGGTGACAGAATGATTCATAGCACAAGAATTAAAGTTTCTGGAGGAAACTGATTATCTAGGGCAATTTCAGATGAGATTCAGAGCTTGATTTTCCCCTCTAACAGCTTTGGCCACTTTAACATTTTTATTCAAGAACCTAGGTAAGGCAGAATGTGTACGCCTTGATTCTCACAATTCTCTCAGGAGCTTTCACTGTTATTCATGGTGGGTTGCCTATCAGGGATACTGGCTTGTGGCTATTCAGATCCAACCTCACATATAAGACTCAGAATGCAGATGTGAAAGAGTCTGTTCAATATAATTGGTGCTCTACGTGGTTTGCTAAAGATCTAAGAGATTTCTACACTTAACATTTATTTGAAATTGCTGGGAGAAGTAATCTAAGGCAGTGATCGCCAACTTGTGGGCCATGAGAAAAATTTGGTGGTCCGCAGAGAAATGTCCCCCCAAGCACTCCCCCCCAAGCAATTAATCCAGGCTGCACGGGAACTCAAGGCTGCGCCGCCCATATGGCCTGCCCAGCCGTTGGCCCTCACCTTTCAGCTGAGCACAAACCTTACCTTGAGTAGAGCCACGCGATCTGGAACTGGAAGTTAAGACCAACAGTGGAACTTTGGGGTGGCTTGCTGACGTTGGTGGGAAAGTCAGCCCCATATTCCAAAGCTGTAGTAGTCACAAGACTGGCCCTTTGTTCATCTCGGAGCAGCTGCTCCTCCAATCCATGGCAGGCTGATGCACCCGGGTAGAGGAGCAGCTGCTCTGGGATAACCAAAGGGTCAGTCCTATGACTACTGCAGCTCTGGAATATGGGGCCGACTTTCCCACCAATGTCAGCAAACCACCATCAGTCAAAATTCATATTAGTGGTCCGCGGGATTTAAAATTATGAGTTTGGTAGTACCTGAGGTCCAAAAGGTTGGCAACCCCTGATCTAGGGCTATAGGATAAGATGTCTATAGGTAGATGTTATCCAGTTGGGCATCTCATTCTCAGACCCAACTAATGTGGCTATTCATATCTTGAAATGATGTCTGAAACCTGTAGAACTTGATGTTACAAACTGGGATTAAAACTGGATAAGAAGAAGTATTCTTTCTGAAGAATAAGGCTCTCTCACCAGTCTATGGGATTACATTTCTCTGAAGGAATGGATATATAATTTAGAGACATGCTCCCATTCAGCTTTGCTACTTGTTGCTCAGATCATATACCTTCCTTTTTCAAAATTTGGCTGGTATATCATTATGAATAGTTCTGCAACATTTTGATGTAACCCAAATCTTGTCACTTATTGATTAAATCATTATGCAGTTCACTTATGATTGCCCTTAAAGATTCTTTGGAAAGTATAGCTGGTCAAATATGGCAACCCAGATTGTAACTGGCTCTAAAAGATCAAACCATAAAATAGCACTCTAGCTGGCTAGTTACCAGTTCACTTCTTGATGTCATTAAAGGTATAAGTTAAGACACTTAAGACTTTAAAGGTTTTGGATCAAAGCCCTTCAGAATCTGGCTGGCCTGTTAAAAAACATGAGAAGTTTTTTTTTCTGAACTCATTCCTCTTGAAGTGAAGCTAACTTTGCAAGGAAACAACTGTTCAGGTCTCATGTTGTGAATTTTTTTTCTGTCTGAACTTTGTTAATATCTTTTTACACAGAGTGTTGTGTTTATGATGACAAAGAGTATAAAGTAGGAGACATCATTGTTAACAAAACTAATCAATGTGTGTACCTAATATGCACACTAAATGGCACCATGGAAATTAAACATGATGGATGCGAAGTTTCCTCTTCTACAACCATTTCCAGCACTGTTACTACAACCACTGCCGCCACCACCACTACTACCAGCCCAAGTAAGCTCCCAGTGTTAATAATTCTTTTTATTACCTTGGAGGACAATAAACTTGTACAGAAATTTGTTTGATAATACCATGTTGAGCTGTGTTCAGTGTGGAAACTTTGCCAATTTTCTCTAAAACTCTTAAGGTGAACCAACCAAGACTTACTATTCTTTTTTTTCTCCATTTCAGTCCCTACTACAACAGTTTCAATTACAAGTAAGTAATAAAAGGAATGTGAGAAAGGTCAAAAATTTAGCAGCATAAAGCACAATCCTTTCATTAAAAGGAATTCATATATTATTCTTTTTTCCCCATTTCAGGCATTTCTACTACAGGTTCAAGTAAGTGCAAAACATGTTTAATTCAAGGCATCTTTTTTGTTTTAAAGGAACAGGTTCGGAAATACTCAGATAACCATGCTGAGAATTTGTGAGGACTGTTAGTAAAAAGAATTAAAGGAAATAAACATCAGGCTTATTTTCCATTTTGAAGTCATGGAGATTTTAAGAAAGAAAATAATATTTATAAATATTTGTATTAGTATACAGATACTATATTGTACACCTTTGAGCTAAATTAAAATGCTCCGTGCTTACTATCTATGAAACTATCAGATTACCAAATAGGAGCAAACTCTCTCTGTGTGTGTATCCGTGCAAGCATGCGAGCGAGTGAGGTGTGTGTGTGTGTGTGAGAGAGAGAGAGAGAGAGAGAGAGAAAGAAAGAAAGAGAGGGAGGGAGATGGAGATACATATAAAAAAAGTGCAGCTATCATGTTGATTTTTTTGGAGACTTCTCTCTGTGGATAACCCTGAAAGCAATTTAATGTTACAAATTGAGTAAATTGAAATCTAAGTTTGAGCTAGGTTTTATACCGCTGCTTGATTTACAGAAGACAGGCAATGCTATACAGAGCACTTATGGTGATTGTAGAATTAATGGTGGCTCTAGCATTAACAGACTGAGCAAAGCTAACACACAGATTGAACGTTGTTGATGCAACAAGATGAAACAAGAAAATGATCAGAGTTATTGTAGTTACCTCAGTGCTAAGGGCTTATCAAGATAAATGCATTTAGTGAAAGAAAGTTATTCTATGTTCAAGAATGAATGCATTATTTAAGGAAAAACAATTTCTTTACTTTTATGATAGTGCAAGGCTAATACTGCTTCCATATCAGAAAATGTAAACACAGCTTCAACTTTTATATAGCAACTTTTTCCCATTCTAATTGCTGTTGTACCATCAACATTTTAGCCTTCCTGCTATTCCACTTCCACCAACACATCTACACTAAAGAATATAAAAGACTGTTACTCCACATAAACATTATACACTTTCCTTTCTACCTCCCTAAAACACTAAGGTTTTTTTGCAGTGCTCATATAACGAAGCAACCAATTAGTTACCCTCGAAATAAACAAAAAACAATGGCTGTGAATTGGGAGGACAAGTATAATTTATTTTACGGAATGAGGGGTTTGAGAAATTGTACACGTAGACTTAAATTAATTCCTGTCAATTACATTATCTGTCATTTGGGTTGATATCCTACTAAAATTCTGGATATTCAGGTATTTTTGTGGGTTATTATCTTCACTGAAAGAGAATATAATAGACCAAAACTGGATTTGAATGTGAGAAATTTTTATTAAAAAAAAAACAGATTAGAGGAGCACAACAGAAAAACAAGTGTGAAC